TGTGTGGGGAGGGCTGGCACGGAGGATGTTGTTCCCCACTCACCAATGTGCCCGCCTGCCACCAGCCAACAACATCTGCTTCTATGGCGAGTGTTCCTACTACTGCTCCACGGAGCATGCCCTGTGCGGGAAGCCGGACCAGATCGAGGGCTCGCTGGCAGCCTTCCTGCCAGACCTGTCCCTGGCCAAGAGGAAGACGTGGAGGAACCCCTGGCGACGCTCATACCACAAGCGCAAGAAGGCAGAGTGAGTGTCGGGCAGGCACCCCCCACACGTGGCCCACATCCTCCTATTCTGACATCACGGGGTTGAGAGGCTTCTGCCCACTTTGCTGGGAGGGGCCTCAGGCCGCAGGGAATAAGGCAGATCAAGGAAGGGAGGCACACCCAGCTCCGCCTGCCCCCAGTGTGGGCGAGACCACCCCTTCCCGAGCAGATGGCGGGAAGGGCTGCCTGACTCTGCGAATCAGATGCGTGCCCCACAGGGGTGCTGGCCAGCCCACTGCGGTCTGGAAACAGCCTCTCAGGGTTGGAGCTCCGCTTTCACTCCTTGCCCTTCTTGTCCCTCACGCAAAAGAGATGGCCCCTCTGAGCCTGGGAGTGTGGTGTCCAGGCCCCGTTTCCTAACAGTGACCCTCCAGAAACCTGGCATCTGGGGCTAACGGCAGCCTCCAGACATGGCTTGATCGCCTCCCAGCCCCTTACTCCCGTTAATGCAGCCTTAGCTGGCAGCACTGTTCTGTGGTGACACCTCTCTCCACCCCCAGTCCTCGCTGCAGTAATCCTGCTGTGCTGAGCTGGTTTGGGCCTCCCTGTCCACACAGAGGAGGAAACTGGCCTTCTCACACTGGCTCCCCTGCAGGTGGGAAGTGGACCCCGACTACTGTGAGGAGGTGAAGCAGACACCCCCCTATGACAGCAGCCATCGTGTCCTGGACATCATGGACATGACCATTTTTGACTTCCTCATGGGTACGTCGGCAGCCCCAGCCTGCACCGGGAGCTCCCACCCTGCATTTGACCCAGCTGTGGCCAAACCCCTGCTTTGCTCTGTCGCTTTGGCTCCAGGGTCAGACGTGGGGAGCGGGCGACAGCCCTGAATTTTCAGCTTGCTTCTCTCCACAGGGAACATGGACCGCCATCACTATGAGACTTTTGAGAAGTTTGGGAACGAGACATTTATCATCCACTTAGACAATGGGAGAGGGTGAGCCATGTTCTTGCTCTTCCAGACCCGGGAGGACAGGGCTCCGGGGGGGGATGGTGGCCGTCCCCCAAGGACGCTGTGTGTGTGATGCAGGGCGCTGGCCCCTAGCCTCCAGCTCCTGTCGGCAGGAAGCGCCTATAGTGTTACTCTTCCTGGTCTTCAGGGTCACCCTGTGTGCTAGGTCCTGTTATGTTCTCGTATTGCCCTGAGGAAACTGAGACCCAGAGTCTGCTTGCCCAGAAGGGCAGAGCCGTGAGGTGCACTTTACCCCTCACGTGGTCACGTGGGACTGGCTAGCTGGGACAAATGGCCCTCCCTGCCCCAGGAACAGGGCCTGTGGCCACTGCTGGCTGGCCCCTGGGCAGTCCTGGGCCACCTAGGAGAGCCGTCTGCCTGACGGGTGTGGTGCAGGGACCTACCGTTCCTAAGTGGTTAATGGTGCTGGTGCTCAGATGCCTCAGACAAGTCCGCATTGGGCACCCGGACAGCTGATGTGTGCGGGCCACGGATACCCAGCTGTCAGAGACAGGAGCGTGGCTGGACCCTGGGCTGACTCACCCCGGTGCCTTCTCCACTCAGCCTGCCTCAGACCCCGCATCTATGAGCTTCTGTCCAGTGCAGCGGCCAGAACACCAGGCTGCAGTTTCTGTCCAGTGCAGCGGCCAGAACACCAGGCTGCTTTCAGGCACCTCCCTTGGCCCAGGCCCTGCGTCTGGTGCCGGGGACGGCAGGGACCAAGCCACACTGTACCGGGTCTTGGGGACACACTGCCCAGTCTCCATAGCCATGGCACTCCAGCAGGCACACACGAGGTGCTGCTCATTCTCAGGTCCCCCGGGCGGTGCGTGTTGCAGGCTTTGCACACAGGTGTCCCGCTGCATGTCGCACCCTCAACAATTCTGTGTTTCTTCGGCAGGTTTGGGAAACACTCCCACGATGAGCTGTCCATTCTGGTGCCTTTACAGCAATGCTGCAGGTATGGGCTGTCCCTCTGCCCCCCGGGAGCCCCCAGCCCAGCCACAGATTGGGCAGAGGCCCCCAAGCCCCACTCCCACAGCACAGCGCCCCGAGCCTGAGCAGCTTCGAGCTCCGGCACCCACAGCCCTTCCCGGCACACAGCTCATGCTGGTCGCAACAGCCCGTCTCACGGATGAACTCGCTGAGGCTCAGGCAGCCGTCCTGACCCCCAGCACTCCGTGCCACTCGCTGCAACCCTCTGTGGGGCTCCCCACCCAGCTTTTTCCCTTTAGGGTTGGGGAAACGGGCCATGGGGCAGAACCAGCTGCACCCTGCCGGGGCAGGTGTGTGGGGCTGAGCTGGGCTCGGTCTCCCAGACGCGTGGGCCATCCCTCCCCGCCCTGTGTCTGCCTGCAGTCTCAGGTCCCTGCGGGCACCGCCAAGTCTCCCATGGCCACCTGCTCTGCCAGGCAGGACCCTCACCGTGGTGCCTCTGAGAGGCAGGGGCCGGAGCAGGCCAGGGACCAACTTGCAACCACCCTCCACTTAGAGCTGGCCTCCCCTGTCCCCAGTTCCCGGAGGCTGGGGCCTGACCTCTTTCTCCCCGGTAGGGTCAGGAAGTCCACCTACCTTCGGTTGCAGCTCCTGGCCAAGGAGGAGTACCGGCTGAGCCTGATGATGGCGGAGTCCCTGCATAAGGACCGGGTGGCCCCCGTCTTGTACCGGCCACATCTAGAGGCCCTGGACCGGCGGCTGCGCATCGTGCTGCAGGCCATCAGGGACTGCGTGGAGAAGGATGGGCCCCATAGCGTGGTGGAGGATGACCTGGACCCTGAGCACAGAGTCCCCCCCGGCAGGTAGTGACCAAGAGCCGCCAGCCTGCCATGGAAGAAGGACAGGCGCACCCACGCTGTGAATTCAGTGACTTCAGGAAGGACGGGCCACTCCTGGAGTCAGGAACCGCGGGAATGTGAGCTCCTTCGGCAGTGGGTCCGACAGGACTCACTGTATTCGCTTTCGAGACCGGAGAAGGTTGGGGAGGGGCGCTCTGTGCTCATGGACGAGGCAGCCTGGCGGCAGGGTCAACCCACCCTTTTTGTATGGAAAGAAAGCCTTTATTTACTATTTTGTATTTATACATGGTGTCTATGTATTTAAAGAGTGACACCTCTGCAGACCCCAGACCACCTACCAAATGCACACATGGGGGCCGCGCCCCTGGGGCTGGACTGTCCCGCCAAGTGCACCCACACTCTGGACCTGACTTGAAACAAACTCCCATCTGTCCTCCCTTCCGGCGGCCCTGCAGCCAGATGGCTGACAGCCTCGGCTTGGGCACAGGAGGCTCCCAATGGCGTCACAGGCTGGTTGACAGACAGACTCCCGGTTTCAGAGTGACGTCAACGACCACGTCTTCCATTTCTCAGAGCCGCCCAGCAGCACCTGTGACTTCGCTTGGCGGCCGAGGGTGCTGCTCGTCTTCTGACTTTGCTTTGATAGCTGGTGTAAATACATCACATAGGCTCCTCCAAGGGCCTCAGCAACAGGCTTAATTTTGCGGCATTTTTGTGGAATAGTTTGCAATGTGGTAAAAGTGCAATAAAACTAGAGCAAATGTATGTTGGGGTCTGGGTCCCTTACGCCCTGAGCTCAGCTGCCACCCACCCACCCTCCACAGAAGTAAGGCCATAACCAAAGCTCAGCTTTCAAGGTGCCACAGGTAGTCTGGGGCCGTGGCTGGGAAGGAGGAGTTGGGGAAGCCACCTGTCCCACTCCTGGTGTGGCAGGTGCTGACAGAGCTGGGTGGGGGTCCCCGAAGACACAGGCCAGTCCCAGAGGGTAATGTCGCATCTACACAGACCTGGCACCTGAGGGCACACTGGCTTTGCCCAGTGGAGCTGGGACAGTGCAGCCCTGCTGGCCGCGGGGCCTGAATCCTCCTCTGGGAGCCCTGCCTGGAAGCTCCCCAAGACTGTTGCCTACATGGGGTGTAGTGTGGGCACAGGGCACCGTGATAGGCCAGCCCCAGGGCTTCCAAGAGGAGGACACTGCTGAGGGCTGACATAAACCCCGGAGAATCCCTGGGATCAGAGAGAGCTGGAGGTCAGAGCCCCGGTGCCTCCTGGGCTCCCAGCCCTCTGCTGCCCCAGGACCACTGCTTTCCATGCACCTTGCAAAGCCGCCAACGTAAATTATTAGTGGTCTCTAAAGCAAGACTGCAAGGTTGATTTTCTTTTCCTCATTTCACAGGTGGGGACACTGAGGTTCAGTGAGGGGCTGACACTCATCACAAAAGTCGGTTTAGGTTTCCTGAATGGCCAAGCCATTGGCTACAGGGCGGGAGGCCTCCCCTCCATCCCTGAACCCCACCTGGGGCTGTGCTCAGGGTCCGGCCCACAACAGAACTACAAAAGGGCCTCAGACCTCAAAGGAAGTAAACGGAGGGTGGCCCCCAAAGCCGGCTCCCCTCAGTCTTCTGCCAGACACTGGTTTCCCGCCCAGCACTCACCCAGTGACCCCACTGGCCGAGTCGTCCCCGCCCCTTCTTGCCAGGGGCAGGCACCTGCGTACCTCTGGCCTCAGCCGCCACCCTCCCGGTCTCCTGCTGTGCCCCTGTCCTTGCCGCAGGGGGAGGAGGAGGTGAGTGTGCAGGAGGAGGGCCTGATGTGGTCCCACAAGAGGGAGCAGCCAGCTCTGCGTCCTCCTCCCTCCTCCCTCCTCCCAGGCCGCGCAGAGAGGACAGAGTGACTCCAAGGGCCATGCTGCTGCCCCCACCCCTCCAGGCCCCTGGTCCATTTGCCACTGGTCCAGTGGAGCTCGCGGGGCAGCTGCTATAGGCAGGCTGGAGCCTGCTGGTGACCCCGACGGACATCACTGGAGCTTTGCAGAGCAGCGAGGGTGACACACGGCCAACTCGTACGTACGGCTCCAAATAACAGGGGCGGTGAAGGGACAAAGGAAATGGAGACACCGGGCAGGGCCACGTGCAAAGACGTGTCTCCCAAGTTCCTGGGTTGAGGCCCGACCCCCAATGTGACTGCATTTGGAGATGGGCCTTTAAGGAGGAGATTCAGGTTGAATGAGGTCAAGAGGTGGGGCCCAATCCCCTAGGACCGGTGTCCTTGTAGGAGGAGAAAGCAACACTGCATATCTCCCACTGCACATGCAGGCGCCAGGCCACTTGGGACGGGCCACGCGGGGACAGGCCACGCAGGGCAGGCAGGAGACCTCACCAGGAACCAGCCCTGCACCTGCTCTTTGCAGTCCAGCCTCTGGATGGACGGTGAGAGAAGAAACGTCCGCGTGCTGGCTGCCCGGCATGTGGGGTTCTGATACAGCGCCTGCGGCACAGCGGAGATCCACATTCGGTCTTTTCCCTTGGGTTCCAACACAGAACTCCCAGGTCTTTTGGAGCTGCCTGAGCAAAGACAGAAGAAGGAAAGTGGGGGGAGGCCAGTCACGGGGGTGACCAGGAAGAGCACCGTAAGCAAACACGTGGTTGTCACTCAGATTCAAATCGGAACCTGTCTCTGGGACCTGGAGTCATGGGTCCCCCTCCTCGTCCACAGCAGACACACTCTTACACATGGAGGTTACCTTTATCAATGCGAACGTCCCGCACAAAAGGGGGACTTCTACTCTGCTTCAGAGCATCTCCCGTGTCTGCCGTTTCTCAAAATAACCAGCTCAAAATAATCCTTATGCCAAAGAGGCACATTTCGGGGTGACATGTCTGCCACCCTTCAAGAACCAGGCACAATGACGAGGACACTAAGACCTGCAGTTGTGTTGAAGAAAGGCCAGCATGGGGCTGTGGCCGTGGGTACCAGAGATCTCCGTGTGGACCCGGGCTCCGTGCAGACACGGCCTGGAATGTGATGATTCACAGACGAGAAGCAGGAGGTCAGTGGGTCAGAAATCACTCAGGAAGCGTGGGGCTGGGATTCTTGCTGACGCAGGCCAGGGTGACCAGACACCACCGGGAGGTGCAGGATGGGGACCGGATCAGACATCAAGGGCGGGCGGGGCTCTCACTAAACTGACTTAAAAGGATTCCTGCTAAAATTGGCCAAAGCAAAGCTGACACAGAGGTCCAAAGGCTGAGGGCTAGTCGGGGAAGAAGGCAGGTCAGGTAGAAAGGAGACTCCTCACACCCAGTACACAGGGCTTGACAATTGAGATATAATGGGCAGCGATGCTGGAAGCCACAGAGGGGTGGAGTGATTCCCTCAACGGCCACCGAGGAGCCCACTGCCCCTGGGCGAGGACACAGGTCCTGAACAGCCCGCGTCCAGGAGGGCGCTGCGGTCATTGGGCCCTGTGCTACCAGGGAGAAAATAGAGAAAGAGGGAAAGCGGGAAGGGGGGTACCCCAGCCAGGTGAAGGAGGAGCATTCATGCCACCCTGGCTCAGTGGGCAGAGCGTGGCCACGGCCATGGCCAGGAGGACACAGAACAGAGAGGAACCAGCTCTTTCTGCAGAAGAGGGGCTGGCACAGCCGTAGTGGGTCGAGAGCACCTGCCGGGAACCAGGCAGACAGGAAATGCCATCTGTCCAGAGGGTCAGCTACTCAGGAGAGGAAGTATAATTACCAGAACCCATGACTCCGTCGGTATGGCATTCACAGACATAATCAACATTATTTCTCCAAAGAAAGAAAAGGTGGTATAACTGAGTCGGAACGAAGTGGGGCAGGATGCTGTCTGAGAGCTAATCCTCTCTTGCAGGGCAGAAAGCTGACTGGCATTAAACTTAAAAAATGTTTAACATCTGCCTTTCCGCTAGAAGCACAGAGGTAATGAAGAAGCAGACGAGAAGACACCCAGGGGACCATGGAATGTGATTTCTCAGGGATGCAGTGATGGGAGCAGGAGGAAAGTGGGGTCTGCTGCTCTTCACACACGATCTTGGTGTTATTAAGGCTTCACAAGGTGCGTTCCCCAGTTACACTGGCAGAGTTCGGCATGTGGGTGAAGCAGGGGAGGAAGTGGGGTCAGAGCCTGGGCTGCAGGCCTGGCCAGGCCAAAGGATCACCACCCACCCGTCCCCGAGAGAAATCCCTGCCCAACTGCACACATTTAAAGCTGTCACACTGAGGCCCAGACCCAAGAAATTATTTTCCTGAGTTCAGCACTGTGGTGTTCGGGGCCCGGATCTGCCTGACCTCTAAACGCAAGAGACCCCTCTTTCTGTCTTCAAATCAAACCAAACCTTTCCCTGAAGCACCCACAGCTGTGGAGAGAGAACACAGACCCAACACCCAGACCAGCATGTCCCCGGGGCTCCAGGGCAACCTCGTGGGATGGAGAAAGGCTGGAGCCGAGGGAGCCGGTCCCGAACAAAGAGAAGAAAAAAGGGCTTTCCATTAAACTCCTCTTGGTGCAAGTCAGCTGTCCAGGGACGCCTACCCAGCCTGCCTGGTCCACAAACCAGACAACATTTCGGCAGAGGTGCCTGGGGGAAAGCGCGGGCAAGAACTCAAACAGAACCATCCCTCAGTGGGCCTGGGAACTCGTTCTGGAGACTCGAGGGGCAGGTAGGAGGGGAGGAAACACCCCGCCTGAGGCCGCAAGCTCTGGGCTCAGACCACTACCCAAAGTGAAATAAATAAATAAACAAACAAACCAACATATAAACCCCAGCCCCTGTGGGCCACAGGGGGCAAAATGTGTGCAGTGGGGCTTCGGCAATGCAGGTGGGTGGGCACCCCCTCATTTCCCAGCCCCCTACCCAGAAGTCTGAGATGCACAAAGGACACCCCCCATGGCCCAAGAGAAGGATGACAAAGGCACCTCATGGACCGCAGTCCCTCCCAGGTGCACCCCCGTGGCTCCCCAGACCACCTGGGAGCAAACTGAATGAACCAGAGCCTCAAAGGCCAAGCCCCCAGACAGAGGAGGTCTTTGGCAGGCTCCCAGGCGGTCCAGCCTCAATGCCTCACCCAAGCGGCTTCCACCTGCCACTCAGATCACAGACTCACCCTCACATATCCCTCCCAAATCCTGACCAGTTTCTAAGGAAAACTCCTCTGCACCCCACCCAGAGGGACCTTAACAGAAGAGTCGAGCAAAGAAGGTCTCAAGCAGCCTCTGCCTGGGTGTGAGGTGTGGTGAGTGGTGAAGGAAGCTAGGAGAGCAGAATCCCAAAGCCCCCCATGTGGGGAGGAGGTTCCCATACGCACGGAGGGGTCTTTCTTACTCTTCTTGGAGCTGGCATTTGGAAGGAAAGGTTCAGAGCTGGCTGGGACTTGCCCACCTGGGAGCCGGGAACAGTGTCCACTCTGTCTCAGAGGGGTGAGGACAGCTCCTGGCCTGGCAGTTTTAACGGGGCAATGGGGTGAAGCTGTTAAAGAGGTCGGCTGCCAGGTGGGGTTCTGTGGGCTACACACTGGTGCCTCAGCCCAGAACAGGCTAGGTTGCTGTGTCCACCCGAGGCCCCTGGTGTGGCCATCCCTGTGGGTCCCAGGGCTCTAGGAGGCAACTTCTCCTCACCACGCTGACTGCTGTAGCCAGATATGTCCTGTGGCCACCGTCATCCTGGAAAGCTCCCCCCTGGGGGGAGGAGGGGGCACCAGGAACACTGCCCAAGACTGGTCCACTTGCACCATCTAGAGGAGAGCCCGAGAAAAGCAAGAGCCACTCCGCAGGGCCCAATGACCCCTCTCAGGAGCCCCGTGGTCCTCAGGACCAGAATCCAGGACCTCCAAAGCAGAGGGGACATGGGGACCCTCAGCTGCCTGGCACGTGGGTCCCTCAGCCAGGCAGGCCATCGGCAAACCCCAACCAGGCCAGCCGGTCCTACCGTGTCCAGGCCTTGAGTGGCCCCAGGCAAAGGGCCCCTCAGGCTCACTCTTCATTGTCCCACCAGGATCAGCACAGTGCCTGCCATTCAAAAACTACCCCAGAACGAATGGGTCATTCTTCAATGGCAATTGAGTCAAGCTCTGTGCACCAAGAAACACGTCCAGACACAGAAGAAGTTTGGGGCTCATGCGGAGGGCAGTGGAGGCTGGAGAGGCACCCCCTCTGTGGTGCCACAGGGCCTTTGCACAGCCTCCCGGCCTGGAGCTCTCTGCCCCACACCAACCATATTTTGTTAATTCCTATTCTGAGTGCTGCTCAAGCATTCCAGCAGTGGAGGGGAGTTTCCTGGTGCTTCTCCTGGCCATCTCAGTATGTCTTATCACGGATACATACTGTCCTTTCCACTTTCTGGGATCCTCTGCTTCCCCACTAGGCTGGGAGCAATGTGAGGACCAGGAGTGCTTTTCGTTCTGCCCAGTTCCTGGCTTGTGGTAAGTCCTCACTGAACACTGTGGATGAGCAACTTGGCATGGCTCAGTCCCCGCCGACCTCACCACTTGTCTCATGCACTGAACTTGTAACATTCCTCCGAGGCACCTCCTTTCCCCACCCTGAGCCCTGGCGCCCAGCTGGCCGGGTCTACACCTGGGTCCTCATCTCCGTGGTGCTCCGGCACTTGCTGATTCTCTACCCCATGCTGTCCCCGCCACTGGAGTCAAGGGTTCCCACTTCCCGTGGGCCCCCTGTGGTCCATGTCTCCTGGTAATCACACCCCTGCAGGCCCCTCAGCGTTGCACCAGGTTGGTCTCTGAGGCCAGTAGACATACAGGTCCCTGCCAAAACTAGGTCCCGGAAGACCCTGGGCCCCTGCTTCTCCTTCTCTCAGATCTCCTGTGCAGGGGAAGTTACCTGCCTTGTTGTGAGTGGTTCGGTGGAGGGGCCCATGTGGTGAGGACTGGAGGCCCCCGGGCCAGCAGCTGGCACCAGCTTACGAGCAGGCGGGAGACTGCTTGGAGGGGGGCCTCCAGCCCGTCAAGCTTTCAGAAGACACACCCCCGGCCACAGGGAGAGAGAGAGCCTGAGCTGGAAGTTGTCGGCTCAGCCACACCCAAATCCAACTCTCAGAAAGCCTGCGAGACAGACACGTTGGCAGAGAGAGTGCCACAGACTCCAGCAGAACCAGCCATCTCGTTCAATGTGTCTACTGATTTTACACAAGAAGCAGGATTCTACCAGGGGTGTTACAAAGTGCGTCACGGGGTGTGGGACCGAATGCCCACCCCAAGCAAAGGAGCCCAGCTGGCCGCTCGGAGGGGAAGCTGCCTCCACGTCATGCTCTTATGACATTGTTTTCCATCAGCCCTCGGAAGTGACACGTGGGAGACAGCATGGTTTTTGGTAATGAGAGCTCTTAATTAGAAGTGGCTTCAAACTTGGGCTCTGATCGTCAACAGCTGTGGGACGCAGGGCCTGGGATTATTGTCATCTGTTTCTCCACGGGCTGGTATGTGGCCTTTCCAAGGGAAGGGACCATTTTCAGGGGATGGGCCAGCTCACACGGAGGTGCAAGGTGCTGAATGTGCCAGGCATGACCCGGGTCTCGAGATGATGGCTCCCCTGAGAGTCTCTGGGTTACTCCAGCTCAGGGTTCCCCTCCTCAAGAGGTTCAGGTTTGGAGTGGCCACCGGAGCCTTCCACCCCAAGATGTGGAAGGCTGGAGTGAAGTAGCCATGTTGTTTCCTGCTTGTCCATCATCTGTGTGCAGAGGCTTCAAGGTCCTTCTTATAGCCCGGTACACAGGGTCCCCTGATGCTGGCTGACCTCGCTGGCCAGGACAGAGCTCCAGGCCCATCACATCTGCTCCCACTGCTTCTGCCTGACCGTGTAGCTCCTGGGAGGGCAAGCCTCAGAACCCAGGTTCTCCAAGGAGGCGCCTGAAGCTTGACAGAAAGCCGTGGAGGGAAGGGTGAGGACAAGAACAGGAACTGGCAGAGAAAACCCTTGCTGAGCAGAGGTGATGTGTTTCTCTCTTTGGCACAGACTGCTCTGCCTCAAATCTCATTCTCACCGCTTGACATCTTGGGTCTCCAAGACCACTGCAGATTATTGAATTAAACTTTTTTATTTGGAGATAACTGTAGATTCCATGCAGTTGTAAGAAATAAAACAGAGGTCCCATGTACCCTTTACCCAGTTTCCCCCCATGGTGACATCTTGCATAACGCACAATCCCACGACCAAGACCTTGACATTGACACAGCACATGCAGAGCGTGGCAAGGTTGCAAGGGCCCCTCGCGTCATCCTGTTATCGTTGCAACCACTTCTGTCCTGCCTGCATCTCCTCCTAACTCCGGGAAACCACTCTGTTCCACATTTTATCATATTGTCTTTTCAAGAATGTCTGTAGATGGCAGCATGTAGTATGTGACCCTTGAGGCTGGCTTTTGCGCTTAGTTGGAGATCCATCCAGCCTGCTGCTGTGTCAGTGGTTGGTTGCTTTGCATTGCTGAGGTGTCCCCTGGTGTAGACGGGACAGAAGCTTGTTTAGCCGTTTCCCTGTGGAAGGACGTCTGGGCAAGTCCCAGTTTGGGGATGTGACCAAAAAAACTGCTCTAAGTATGTGTGCACAGGTGTTCTGTGACTTTCACTTTCCATTTCTCTGGGATAAACGGAAAAGTGTCTAATTGCTGCTTAACACTGTGGTCACATGTTTAATTTTTAAAGAAACTGCCAAAATGTTTTCAAGAGGGGCTGTACCATTTTATGTTCCCACAGTCCAGCAAATATAATTTTGACATCTGACAGAGAGGACAACACAGAGCCGCTGAATGTGTTTGAGCTCCAGTGTGCTTCTGATCCTCAGCAGAAGCCAGCCGTGGTACCCAAGCAGAAGGACCGCTGCACAGCCTCCCGGGGGGTGCTGGGGGAACCTGGCTGCACCAAGTCAGGCCTGCCCACCCTTCCTAACCAAGGGCGGTGGGCAGCATCAAGCCCTCATGGGGCCAACTGGCTGGACTGAACACAGGTCATTTCTGAGCTCAGGGTTGTGCTTTGAAGGGAGAATTTTCTGGAAAAAGACTATCCAGGCTTCCTGACCTCAGGCAGATTCACAGAAATGGGTCAGTTCAGAATTCTGCAGATTATTCATGGAAATGCCTTTGGTGGCACATCCCACTGTGAAACAGACTCCCCCCCCTCCGCCCCTTGCCACACCCCGCCCGGCAAGATCCCACCTCATTTTTTTTCCTAAAATTCCCATACCTTGTCTTCTCTTCTGCATGCATCTACCCATACAAGGAACCACAGCTTTGGAGCTAGAAGGGACCAGTAAAGTAGTGGCTAAGCTGTCAAGTGTGCTCCCAGGACTGAAAGCTCTGTGCCCCAGGCACTCAGGGGCTCCCTTACAGAGCAGGCTCCTGAGCCCCTTGCCGGGACCTGGAGGAGGCACCCTTCTGGGCAGTTAGAGACAGTGCCGCTGGGACGCAGGGCCTTGGAGGAAGTGCTGGACCCTGTGTCTCTGACCGGGCTCTGATCTGGTGCTCCAGGCAGGGACACACCAGCGGGGCCCAAACTATCCTGCCTGGACCCTGCTGTTCTGGGGCAGGAGGTGGGGCCGAGCCTGGTAGTGGGGGAGGCGACAGTCCCGGCCCTGTCTGTGGCCTGGCTCATGGCTCTGTTCTGGCAACCCAAGAGTCCACTCCGGGATCCGGCGCCAGGGAAGAACCTAGTGTCTCCGTGCGCGCCCAGGGCGCACAGACCCGCGAGCTCCGAGGAAACATCCGCCAGTGCAGGGAGCCCACGGGGAGCCCCAGCTCTGGCTCGGGGCGGGAGCGGGGGGATGGGAGGGATACCCAGCAGCCCTTCCTCGAAATCTGGGGCCAGCGCAGGGAGCGCGGCACGGGCACCGGGGCGGGAGCAGGAGGCGGGGCGGGGGGGGGGGGGGCGCCCCGCCTGTCGGACCACCCAGCACGCCATTCCCTCCTCCCTCGGTCCGCAGGCGGTCAGAGGGTCACCCAGAGCCCCGCTCGGCTCCCCTCAGCCGCTTTCCTGGTGGCTGGGGCCTCCCCCGCGCTGGGATTGGATGCGAGAGAAGGGGGTGGGCGCGGGTGGGGGACCCCAGAAGCCCAGGTTCCCAGCTCGGGCGTAGAAGAGCCCGCAGTGCAGACGCTGCTGGCCCGCGCCCCGGAGGACCTCAGCAAAGACCTGGCGGGCTGGCGGGCGGCGCGGAGGAGGTGGCAAAGACAGCGGTGGTCCCCGCGGGCACTGGGTGCGCCAAGATGTTTGACAGCTCACAGTATCCCTACAATTGCTTCAATTACGACGCCGACGACTACCCAGCCGGCAGCTCGGACGAGGAGAAGCGGCTCACGCGGCCCGCATACAGGTGACCGCGGGGCGCGTGGTGGGAGCCTGCCGGCCGGGGACCCTCCTCCTCAAGGACCTCCTGGGACGGAGGGAGGGCTTTCTTCTCCGGAGATGGGGGGTGGGTGGGATTCAGAGAAGGGACACCTTCCTCTGCAAGTTCTCTCAACTGCCCTGAGGAAACTCCCAAGTGTGAAGATGAGCTTCTTGGGTCTCGGCAGAAGCGGGGAGCGGGGAACTCCAGGGTTCACGCTCCCAAACAACCCCTTCCCGCGGGCACCTCCCACACACCACGGAGCCCTGGGGGCGGAGGAGTCGTGCGCTTCTAGAGGGGCTCCTGGCTGGAGGGGATTCCAGACGCCACAGCGTCCCCTCCTCCGCCCCGCGTGGCCCCATGCGCCCCTATTTGCAGCTACATCGCGCTGATCGCCATGGCCATTCAGCAGAGCCCCTCAGGCAGGGTGACCCTGTCCGGCATCTACGACTTCATCATGCGCAAGTTCCCCTACTACCGAGCCAACCAGCGCGCCTGGCAGAACTCCATCCGCCACAACCTGTCCCTCAACAGCTGCTTTGTCAAGGTGAGCCCCGCCCCGGCCCGCCACCCCGCTCCCCGGAATGGCCCCCGAGTGTCCCAAGCTGGGGGCTCCTGGGCCAAGTCATCCTTGATTGGGGGCGGGGGAGGATTTTGCAGCAGCAGTTGCTGGAAAGTTCGTTTTTAGCAAATTTAGTGCCTCCAGCTTGCTCCATGAGCAACGCCACACACCACAAGGACAGGGACCTGCCCAGTGCTTGTCCTGGCGTCCTAAGTGAGCCCAGATGCGGAGAGGGGTGCGCAGGAGCGCACCGGGAACCAGCCCTTCGCAGAGCCCCTCCCTCTCCCACAGGTGCCTCGGACGGAAGGCCACGAGAAGGGCAAGGGCAACTACTGGACGTTCGCGGGCGGCTGCGAGTCGCTGCTGGACCTCTTCGAGAATGGCAACTATCGGCGGCGCCGGCGCCGTGGCCCCAAGCGGCAGGGGGTGGGGGAGGCGAGGGCGGGGGGCGCGGAGGGGCCTCCGGGGCCGCCTGAGCCAGCCCCGCACCGCCAGCCCCCGGCCCCTGTTAGCTGCGCTGCCACGGGGAAGGAGGAGCCCAGGGGCATCAAGTTCAGCATTGACTACATCCTGTCCTCGCCCGACCCTTTTCCAGGGCTCAAGGATCCCTACGGCCCCCAGGAGGGCAGAAACCCCTGGCTGGAAACCCAGCAAATGAACCTCCACCTTTGGACAGTATGAGCCAGGGCTGGCACCCAGTTAGTCTGGGGTCTTCCAGGTGATTGCAACCCCACTTCGAGCCAAGAAGCAAAGTTTTGCCACATCCTACTAACTTCCACAGACACGTCCCTGCTCCGTGCTGCAAACCACCCTGGGCTGGAGAGACAGGAGGTCAGTCTTCGGGCTTCATCCTTCAGAGAAAGTTCCCTTGCAAGAAGACCCACGGGGTCCTGCTTGACTGAAGCGTTTGCTCTGGATTCACTGAATGATCCTTCTCTGAGGAATAGGAACACAGGTTTAGGGCCACGTTCACTTAGACCCAAGGTAGCATTTCATCCCTCCGTAATCTGAGAATTGGCTGCATAGACAGCCACACCCTGGAAGGCGGCCAGTACGCTCAGTCTACAGTTGGCGAAGTGGGTGGGCATCTTCCCTAGAGCTAAAAGTGATACTAATAAAGTGCAAACAGTGAAGTCAGATATCAGTTGATCCCATGAATGTCGCCCCGAGGTTTTTGACTGTGGCCCTGCTACGGATGATGTGATCGAAAGAGTAAGTGCATCTTGTGCTGTGAACAGAATAGCCGATGATTGCTTGAGAAATCCTGTGCACTTTTTTATATAGGAAAGAAGGCAGGAAGAAGGGAGGAGCAAGAGGGAGGAGGGAGGGGTCCAAATTTGGGACAACATGGGGCAAAGTACACTTTTCTTGGTTCTTCTGAGCAGGGAGTGCGTTTCTACTGGGGCACGTTCCACCCAGCTGGTTTCCCGAGGAGGCAGACATTCCGTAGCAGGCGGCTGATGGATCCCTGCTACACTGTGAGGTGTACAATTAGGGAGTGCACAATGACGAGCATTAGGGGCGGGTACACTCCATTTGAAATGTAAATGATTTAATTACTGCGTGGAGACGGGCATTTTAAAAAACACAATTATGCACAGTGAAACTATTTGACCAACCTTATCATTTTTCACCAGCCCAGTTTTGCGGAGTTAATTGCTTTCCATGACTTAATTTGAACATTAGTATGGATTACACCTAATCTGATCCACTAGGTGAGAATGATTGGCTAATTTTATAAACAACAAAAACACACCTAAGGAAGCTGACTGTCTCGACTGGGAATTACATGGTTGTGCTTTATTGGACTCTGAAAAACCCAGACCGGTAAAGGAAGGCAGGCAGGAGGTGGAGACAGACAGAGCCATGCAAGAGACTCACTTAGACTGGCTCGCTTCTGATTCAGACAAGCTGACATTTCATTAAACTGCAGCATTATTATTCGTCCACCCTGTAGATACCTCCTTGGGTTGGACATAATCGTTTTGAGAAAAGGGGAGAAGGCCGTTACTTATGAATGTTGTGAAATGCCTGATCCCCGAGTCCAGAGATGAGTGCTGGTGGTGATGTGCCCACTGCCTGCCCGCCATCACTCTCTTGGTCTGGCCAGGCCCTGCCCATGGGGCAGCCAGTCAGCCTCATGGGAGGAGGGGAGCCCTGCCTCAAACAGCCCTCCGGAGAAAGGACTAAGGCCTGCAACACAGAGGACGTCTCTCCTTCGCAAATGCCAGATGCCCGAGCTCTTTGCTGGGAAAGCACCCAACATTGGTGGGCCCTCACTGCCCGCTAGGCACCCTGCTGAGCCCAGACAGGGGCTGTCTCCATGGCAGGAACACCAGCCGTGGTTGATGGTTGCATTACTTCTCATCCCCACTTTGCAGATGGGACCCGCATGCAGGTGGACCCAGGCCAAGGCCCAGGCATGTGGCTTTGGGGCTGGGCTGCTAACACGCCCTCCAAGCTATGGCTCATGCAGACTCAGAGTGTCTGTCTGCACGTTCGTGCATGTGTGCATCGCAGGTGTGATGTCTGTCGGTGTTCCCGTTATTCGTATCCCTTTGCCAGTTGAGCTAAAAGCATTGTTTTAAATGATAGTAGATATGACGTAGGTGGTGTGGTGCAGGTGGTACTTATCATACATAAGTAGATGGCATACAGAGTATCTGAAGATATATTTTTCTGCTATCAATCAAACAAATAAAATTTGCCTTTTATCTTTCGGGTTCTAGCCGCATTCCCGCTTTTTGTCCTGGTGAGCAAAGCCTGATGGAACAGAAAATTCCTCTGTCCTAAAAGAGGGCAATTTTGGAAGCCCCAGCCTTGGAGGGGGAGAGGAGTCCTGGCAACCAGACAGGCTGTTAGCACGCCCTCCCCTGTGCACAGGGTCCGCGGCAGGTGCTCACTGGCTGCCGGCGAGCAAAGGGATGGCGCCAGGCAGGCGAGGTCTGTGTACTATGAGGTATAACATTTGTTTTGCAAAGGATATCAATCATGTTTTTAAAAGCGAAGGGACATTTTCAATTTGCCAGCGTGTGATATCCCACAACTCAGGCAGGTCTTCCAGTCTTTCAAGTGAGTGGCATTTAATACCAAACAACATTGCAGGGGTGAGGGCCGGCTCTGACCTATTCAAATACCGCCACCACGCAGACTCGCCCAGCACACGTCTAATTAAATACTTTATGCCTCTCTTGCAAATCCGCTGATTGATCACTGATATGTACATTACCACCGCATTACCCCCGAGCAGATGTCTGCCACACGGTTACGGATCACCGGGTTTCCATTAACAAAGTTGGGAGGCGCTGCTGTGCGGGAGTTCAGCGGAGGTGTGTGCAAACCACCATCGTGTAGAGCAAAGTTCCCAGCTGGGCGGCATCCAGGCTGAGCTTTTCCTCACCCAGACTCCGTGGGAGGATGTCCTTCCTCACAGCGGCTGGCCAGGCCTCGGCCCTCCACCACAGCCAGAGACCAATGGAGACCACATTTGGGTGGATGGGAGAGAACCCTGGGATGGGAGCACGAGCAGGTCTATGAGTACAAAGGGGTCCTGGATGATGCCCTCCCCTGCCGCCCCGTCCGACCCTGGGGTCCAGCATCGCTGTGTCTCCCCAGAGAGGCCTCCCTTAGCCAGCAGTGCCCTCCATACCAAGCCACTCTTTGGCCCTTGGTCTGCCTCCCCCCAGGAAGCAGAGAAAAGGCCTCGTTTCTCTTCAAATTCCTTCCTTCCTTGATTGAGCGGTTCTGGGGCTGTGTGTTCATTCATTCAACAAACATCCATAAGTCCAGTGCTAGGTTCTGGGGTGCAATTATGGACCAGCCTGCATCCCAGCAGCATGCATAGAGCCCTCACATATCCAGGAGGCTGGGAAGGAAGCCTGCGCCCAGGGAGCTGAGACAGCAGACAACTCGGGGCACAACAACCAGTTCAGACAGGGTGGATAGGCAGGACCCTCCAAGGGCCACCTTCAAGTTGAGGCCCTAGGGACAGGCAGGGGCCCGCGTGCCAAGAGGAAGGGCATTCCAGGTGGGGGGTGGTAAGCTGAACCCCTGAGCAGGGGGAAGGAGTCGGCGGGGGTGGGGGTGGCTTGCAGAAGGCCAGTGTGGCTGGAGGGAAGCACAGGGAGGGGAAAATGCTCTCCCAGCCCCCAAGTCCAAGACAAACACCCATGTCTTTAGCCTTTGAAGTTTGAAGTGCGTCTCCTGCATTTGCCTCAGTTTGTCACTGTTCTTTCTGATACGTGGAACTCCTACAGGACAATCACCTCCCATGCTCTGGGCACTTCACCTTGGTTAATGTGGCCTCCATACTGGCTCCCTTACTGGGGCAGACACGCGCTGCACGTCTCCTGCTCTTGTCCTCAAGTGTCTCTTCCTGACCTGTCCCATCCTGTGCTCATGAAACCAAGACACAGGTCCTGGCTGGGTGGGTGATGCAAGCAAGGATAGTGTACAGAGGGTGAGAGGGGTCTTCTAGAGCTCCTATTGGCACCAGCCCTCCTTGGCATCTTCTAGGCCTCAGTCAGCTACCCAGAATGACCTTGGAGGCCTTCGGACCCATGGTCCTGGCCTCCCAGGCAGGGGCAGGGAGCAGCACCAGGCTGGGAGCCTTGCAGATGCATGTCCTCAGACAGGCCATCTGCCCACTTGAGCCCTGGGTTCTTCATCTGTAGCATGGGCCACACACAGAACCCCTGGGGACTTAGCTGAGATGGACCATGTCTCCCATCTCATGTCTCCCACCCACCCCCAATGCTCTGCTCAGCTCACACCCCGTGGGGGAGGCAGAGAACGGACTGGCTCTGGGCTATGAGAAGCCTCATAGAAACCGGCTCCCCCAAGCTGGGCAAGTCCTCTGGGCACCTCCCTTCCTTGAAGAGCCCCCAGGGCCCCTGCTCCTTCCCTGGGACCTCACATCTGCCCTGGGCACTGCCCACTTCCTGCCTCCCCACAGGCAGGCCGGGATGGGGCCACCTGGAGCCTCCAGAGTGGGAGGGGTCGGGCCGAGGGGCTCTCCTTCCCCCACATGTGCAGCTTCCTCAGTGAATCTACTCTGGCCTCCCACTCTGGGGGTTGGGCAGCGTTTCCCTCTCTGCCTCATCCCTCCATTGGGAAGTGAGGCCCTTGGCACTGAGCTGGGCACAAGGCCAGGGAGGAGCCTCCGCAGGGTATGGGCTCCCTCTGAAATCCCTCCAGGACAGACCCTGGGCCATGTGGGCGCAGCCCCAACAACAGTGAGACCAAGAACGGGACCGGGGAGACCCTGATAGTGGAGGAGGCCACTCAGCCCAGGGCGGGGAGGCTGACACCAGGGGGCCTCCTGTCAGAAGTGAGACCAGTGCTTTACATCGAGGCCATGGACTCAGTCACGCAGGTGTCCGAGGGGGCGGCCCCCCTGGACAGCACTGGGGTAGAGAGGAGTGCTCATCTGAGGAAGGGCGGCTGAAGGTGGTGCTGCGGAGGAAAGTCCTCAAGGGTTTAGTGACCAGGCGGAGGCCCCACAACAACCCACTCACAGAGGACGTCCGCCCAGGGTGTGTGTGAGGATGGGAAAGGGCCCCTGGGGGTGGGACCCTGGTGGGGAGGGCAGGCAAGCTACACAGGTAAGGAATGTGGTAATGCTGCACGCCCAGAAGTTCCCCTAGGGGACGGGGCAGAAGGGCATCCCATCATGCACAGGA